TTACCTGCGTGTGTACATGCTTGTGCATGTGTGTATTGGGTGCACTTACTTGTGTATGTACATGCTTGTACATGTGTGAACACTTATGTGTGTGTGTACATGCTTGTGCATGTGTGTATTGGGTGCACATCTCTGTGTGTATACATGCTTGTGCATGAGTATATCTGGTACACCTACCTGTATGTGTGCACTTACTTGTGTATGTACATGCTTGTGCATGTGTGTACACTTATCTGTGTATGCACATGTTTGTGCCTGTGTGTATTGAGTGCACTTACTTTAGTGTATATATGCTTGCGCATGTGTGTGTTGTGTGCTTTTACCTGTGTGTACATGCATTTGCATACGTGTATTGTGTGCTCTTGCGTGTGTTTTTATATGCATGTGCACATGCTTGTGCATGTGTGTATTAGGTGCACTTACCTCTGTGTGTATACGGCAATCCAGAAGTTGATTTCAAATATCTTTCTTTCCTGCTACCTTTTGAAATGGAGTCTCAGCAAGACTGGCTACTCAGCATTTCCCCAGGACCTGTTTATCCCCAGTCCCCTAAGCACTGGTGTTTCAGGCATGTGCTGCTACATGTGGTTTTGTGTAGGTGTTGGGATCTGAGCTCTCATGCTTGTGCTGCAAGCATGTCATGCACCCCAGCCGTCTCCCCAGCCTCATAGCAATTTTTAATAAATGAATTTGCAACAGTTTGATTTATTATCCATATTAGTGACATGTACTTGCTACATTAGGGGGTATATTTGAACCCTCAAACTTACCGTGTCTGTATAACCTTTTCTCATTTGGCCCTCAAAGCGTTATTTTTAATGCTAAAATATATCGACTCTGTAGCTGAATGTTATTTTTCATAAGCAAATCTCTTTCAGTATCCCTTGCTAAAAATAGTGCTAACACAAAACAACCGCATTTTAAAGTTCCATGTGTGCTATGATTCTCTTGGGGGAACAGAATAGAAAGCATGAATATATAATTAAAGGGGATTTATTTAGTGGCTTAAAGGCTATGGCCCCACTAGTTCAATAATCATTGTCTTACTGTAAGAAAGCCCAGGAATTCAGAAGTTCCTCAGTCTACAAGGCTGGGTGTCTCAGCTGGTCTTCAGCAGGCTCCAGAATCCCAGAGAAGTAGGCTGTAAAGCCAGTGGAGGAACGGACTTGCCAGCTCGAGAGAGAGCAGCAGGCGAATATCACAAGTTCCTTTCTTCCGTCCTCCTTTTGTAGGCAGCCACCAGAAGCTGTGGCCCAGATTTAAGGTGGATCTGTCTACCTCCAAAGACCAGGATTTAAGACACACCCTCCCATCTTTAAAGATTCATTCAAGAAAAATCCCTCACAGGTGTACCAGCCACTTGGGTTTGAGTTAATTGTAGAAGTAACCAGGTTGACAACCGTGAATAGCTATCGTGCCACGTATTAGTCATTTCATATTCCAGAATAAATGAAGCTCCTGCATCCTATCTCACGTGATCCTCAGAAAAACTCCGTCTTTACAGCTGATGAATAGTGTCTAAAGGAAGTAAAAGAAGCTCTGAACCATAGAGGACAGATGCTGCAAACAAAATTCACTTAATATTTTGTCTTCACAGGGGTGGGCCTAGGTAGTGCTAGGGATGACATAATGCAGTGATATTTTAGAAAGTGTCCTAAATAATTAGTGAACACTAATCAATCTGTACACCACCGATCTGCCCTTAGAAAGGTGTTCTTCAATGTCTCAAGTCAGGCTTTGCACAACTAAAAACCCAGGGATCCCTCTGGTGGCACAGTGCGGTACTACAACTAAGCTGATCTTGCAAACATCAAGAACATTTGGCGATCTGCAAAATGTTCCAGTTGCTGTATTTAAGTCAAGAAAGACTCTCATTTCAACAAGAGCTGAAACTATTTGAAATCCCACTTTAGGTTAACGAGGGGTGGAAGTAACTCCCCTAGAAATTGATTTTTGGTCTCAGTTTCCTTTCACAAGTTTTCCTAGGGAGAAAAACCTCAGGAAATACAATGTGTCCGCTTTGTACACATGCCTGTTTTATGCCCTTAATTAGTCGTAATAAACAATGCTCGCTAAAAGTAACATTGTATCAAAACTTAGTACCACATCAACTCACTTTTTATGGAATAACCAGTCTTTGAATAGGTATAATTAAAATTCACTTACTTAAAATAGGCAGAGGGAAAGCTACTCTCTGTCTATATGAAACATCTGAATCTTTATTTGAACTTTTAGAAGGTAAAACGAAGTCACTCCCTCAGTACAGTGTCTCAGATAAGAGCTTTTTCTTTCGACCTTTGTCACCCAGGTCAATCCTGAACATATGATTTGACTGTTTCATTCAAGTTCAGCAAAAGGAGGGTCTCTGCATTTTTAGCTCGGGGTTTAGGAGTTTGAGTCCAAACCACAGCTGTGGTTTCCTTTAGAGTCTCGTGGGGCTGAAATAAACATATTGACTAGGCTGAGGGCTCACATGGTTTGGTTAGGGAAAGAGGTGCCTTTAAGAGTCTTCCTATGGGTGGGATTCAAATCCATGCCACTGTAGCCCTCTGGCTTCACGTTCCTTGCTGGTTGTCATTCAGGGCACCCTCTTGAATCCAAGACGCCGCTTGCCTCCTTTGCCAAGTAAATCTCGTCTCTGTGCAGGTCACTCAGTGTCTGGTTCTCCGGAACTCCTGACTTCCTTTTACATAGCCAACCCAGAACATTCTCTATCCTTAAAGGACACAGGAAATCAATCAAGCCTACCAATGTTCTGTCTGCATAACCTCACTAAAAAGGGACTAATTATCCCAGTCACGGTGCTGAGCACCATGCAGGTGGGTTGCTACGGGCGTGGGGATCTACAGAGCCCCCTGTCTGACCAATTGTACTCATCTCTGGTGAATACACACTGAAATACCAACTCAGCTCAAGCAAAATTCCCTGAAGGTACTTCCGTTGAGGTCCCTTTTGATGTTTTTATTCCATTCTATTTTTTTAAAATAGAATTTCAATTCACTAAATTAATTTCATAACCTGCTAATGACTATTTATGTCCCAATGTTTGAAAAAAATCAAAATCATTGTACTGCTTATAGAACCTTCAATGCCTAAAACTATTCTTTTTTAAAGATAGAATTGTTAATTAGAACTAGAATAATAAGAGCATTACCTTAGTGGATTAGCTTTAATGGATAAATACCAGAAAAGAGAGAGAAATTTTTTCCTGTTTCAAATTTTGTTTGTGTTCAACAA